TCTGCTTATCACGAAAATTTGAGAGACTCTCTTATCGCTATAGGTTGGATTGCCTATATAACTGCATTCATTAGCTTTTCATGCGTGGGCACATCCTAAGAACAGCTGGGTTAACTACCTGTTGACATGTCAGAGGTAGCCACTGACGTTCAGTGAGGTGCAACACTGCGACTGGTGTCTATAATGATACCTTTCCAAGTCAACCGTCTAATGCACCTAGATAGTCTGACTTTCGGATAAGCTAAGGTTCGCCTAGAACATATTAGGAATACCATAAATCAACTCCTCTTAGAACAAAGTTTCCTTATTGAGAGTTTCGTTCAGACCATCTGAGATTTCCTGGCCTGAATAACGTTGGACGGACACTGGAATTTTGCGTCCTGGATTATTGCGTATAAGACAAATACGTCTCTGGATAACTGCGTACCTCTGATAATTTTTTGAAGTTACCATTTTTTTTTTTTTTAAGTTGTTTAATATAGAAATTTGCACACCGATAACTTTAATTACCCTAAACAAGTAGAAAGGTAGTTGTCATAATTAAAAAAAGAGAGAAAAATGTCTTTTTTGAAGCAGGCGAAAATTAAGCTAACAATTTCAGTTCTCTCCAACAGTACGTACTACAAACATCTAATAGATTCTGGATTTTGTAGATCATATTTTTATTTGAAACCCATGGCTAAGTTCCAAAAATCATACACTGGTGGACGAGAAAAATTATAGATACCACATAAAAAAAACACCGATAAAACAAAAAAAAACATAGTAGCGATGTGTAGAGCGATCTTGCAACTGTTAATCTGTCGTTGCATCTCTATCTATATAAGGCAGGATGTGTGTGTATGTGTGTGTAGCGAATGCACGCCCGCAATTTTCGACGGATTTGCACCAAAATTTACATGCACATGCTCCAAGTTAGTGGGAAGGCCAAGACCGACTTTGCATTTTCCAACTCCCATCGATAGTGGAAATAATCGTTTTTTCATGCTTCTACGGCAGTTTATGTAGTTTGCGGCCATTTTCTACTGGCCAGAGTGAGAGCCTATAGCTGGCTGCCACGAATAGGCAGAAAAATTCTTTTGGCCAGCGTGAGAGCCAACAGCTGACTGACACGAATGTTAACTAGCATGCTAGCATGCAAAAAAAAATCGATAGCTGCATTCGTCACAAGTGGGAAAAATTTAAATCTGCATGGCACTTTATTCCAATTGGCTCATTCGCTTGCTTAAACTCAACGTTGATTCTGATTCCGCAGAACTGGGTTAGGTGTAAAAAAGTATTTGTTGTTAACATTCTTTTTCATTCGGTTTTTCAGTTACGAGTATTTTTTAAAGCTGATCATTTTTTGTGTTCATTTTGTTTAGTTCTTTTTTTTCGTAACAGATTTAATGTTTAGTATAGAGCTTAGAAAAATTCGCAGTGTGAGATAGGCAAGAAGTAAGGCATGTAGCAACATCAGCACGGCAAAGGGCACTCCTTTAAAGGCAAGGAAGGGCAAAAATATTTTAAGTCAAGTGATAGCGATTGCTGTATGAGTCGTACGATTTTTAAATCAAGCACGGGCAACGCCGGGCCATGCTGCTAGTTTTAAACAAAAATAAACTTTCAATTTTTTTTATATTTTATTCTTTTTTCAAAAAAAAAAGATTACTACCTGAACTTTTTTCAAAATTTATGGTAATTACCTTTAAAAGTTACACAAATTTCCAGAGGTACGCACTTTGTCTAGGGACGCATTTTGTCTAGGGACGCAAATGTCAAGTACGCAACTATCCTTGAACCCTTGAATCACATACTGAGTTCGTGTGAGTAAGTATCTACTGAGGTCAGCAATGTATTGTGTAAGCTGGTGGTAGATATGTAATGATGAATTCTAACGGCAACACCTGACCGCAGAGTCTGGATTGGAAATTGTGTCATATACAGGTCTGCTTGTAAACAAATGGCGCATTTATACTTGCCATGTATCTCAGTGGATTTTTATTCAATAAGATCCCACAAAGCACTCAATTTTGTAGAAAAAATAGTTCCAGGAGGTTGCCATGTTTACAGTTGGTAATAGTTTCATCCAAGTGTCTCTAGAAATAGTCGGTTAACGTCTATTTACTACATTGGCTCCCTCGCTCGCCAGATTTAAACCCCATTGAGTATGTATGAAGCATATTCCTGACCACACTAAATTCTCTGCAGTCACATCCAATAAACACAGTGGAACGCTACAGAACATATAAACCTCTGCAAGGAGACCAACGCTTTGAAGTCTCGATGCCACGTCACGTAACGGGTGTTGTTCAGGCGAAAGAAAAATTAACACGTGATTGGGTAGCTGTCTCAGTTTTGTTTTAAATGATCGATGTTGAGTGGAATTTTAGAGGAATATTCCATTAATATTTTGCTACCGATTTATACTACATAAAATTTCTACCATCATAACTATAGTCATAAGAGTAGAAATGTTTCTACTTATAAAATAACTTCATACAAACGTTTCGCCTGGATAGTTTATATAAATTTGATAAACCTAGAATAGAATTTATTATTCGGTCGAGCTAGTTCATTCATGAGTATATCACGCCAACTATGACGGTCCTGTATCAAGGTCGGAATGTCATTAGTGCGACATTCTGTGTCATAACATAATTGGTCAATGCAGGTGATTGCTACTCGACTAACCAGTTCGCGCCATAGCTAAGTGTTCAGAACAGTCAATCATTCGCAAGTTCTTGTTTTGCTCGCCAGCAGTGTCCTGCAAAGCACATTCTACGTTCACGTAAGATTGTAGAAATATCAGTGATGGGTTCGTAGAGATGTGAATGTTGTCTCCAAGAGATCTTAAGTATAGATCTCAGTTGCAGGTTCCATCAAGCTTAGACTCTGGGGTTTTAGCTAATGTCCAGGCAGTGGCACCATACATTAAACTAAAAATGTGTAAATATCATATTTGTGTTGTATCCTTCAGCACGTGAGAAATACGTGCTCTCCACAACTTGTCACTCAAAGGTTGATAAGCCGTAAAAAATTAGTCAATCAACCGGATTAAGAAGCTCTTTAGGAAATGGATCGAGCCGGTAACTTTTCAGTACTCTCCTTTTTAATAAACATAATACTTATGGCATAGAGCAGCAACTCTGCGTTGTGGTGTGGCACCTAGTGCGGATCGTATTCCCTGGCTTGTGAGACTATTTGCTATTGATCCACTCCTAGGAGACGTATGATGGTTAATGAGCCTAGTTTAGCCTGGCACAGAATTCAAAATATGGGTGGTACCCATTAGCATCTGTCTGCGAGACTAGCTTGTTAATGCCCGCTTCCGTAACAAATAAATCAGCCTGCCTGTCTTGCGTCATGGCTAGGTGCCCAGAGCAGTAGATCATTTGCAAGATCTTGTTTTGCTCGCCAGCAGTGTCCTGCAAAGCACATTATACGTTCAGGTAAGATTGTAGACATTTCTATTTATCTATATATATATGTCCATAGAGTTGTGATTTAATTGGATGTTATCTCCAAGAGATGTTAATTTTAAATCTCACCGTCCTAGTGTATATTCCGTCAAGCTTGGACTTAAGGGTTTTAGTTAATGTCCAAGCAGTGGCACCATACATTAAACTGCCTTTACAGTGGTGCGAAAGAATCTTCGTTTGAAGTTGTTTGGTAGTTCTGATTTTCAGATTACGTCCATTTTATTCAAAAGAGAAGATTATTTGAAAGATAATAAGTCTGCCTTACGAAATAAACCGTACAGAGAGAAATATTGCAGAAAATAATGTAGTCGAGCGAACACTTGTATTTTTACACAAGGGTATTGAATCGAAATCTACAGGGTGCGATGAGTAAATTGTCGCCATTCTATATTTATAATTTCGCGCATGTGTGTGTGTTTTTTTTTAAAATTTTATCGATTATAGTAGGGTCAGTTTGGCACCGTCTGTGAGAAGAGCACCACGATGCAATTCACACCACCAGAAATTTGGAAATGGTATGCTGTACTACTTGGAATTCACGTCGGAAGCTCCAATACGAACATTTCAGAGTGTTTAGGTGTCAACCCGAGGACAGCGCAGAGGATTCGGAAAGAGTTGGACGAGTCTAATGGTGATGACGAATAAGAAAAGAACTCCAGAATTTGTTGGTGAGGGCCTCAGACTCAACACAGAGACCTACATCAAGTGACTTGAGGAGATAGTGCTTCCCTGGGTCAAGAGGGTGGCACCTAAGAGGAGTCTATATCTGGCAACAGGACTATGCACTATGCCACACAGTCAGGAGAGTCCAGTGATGGCCGTTAGACAATTTCTGAGACCACATCACCCTTTACACCTGGCCACTTAACTTCCCAGACTGAAACCCCCTGGATTATTATGTGTGGGGCGCAGAATAGCAAGAGATCAACAAATGTCCTTGTATCACCAAAGATGAAGTGAAGGCAAAGATTAGGGCAGCGTTCACTAACTTAAAGAAGGAGACCATCCGGAAGAGTTGCAGGAGAATCCGAAGTTGTCTGGAGGCCGTGGTTGATGCCAATGGCGATTTTATTGGATAAATTTACTCTTTAGTATTTCAAGATATTTTTTGTGTAATTATAGTAGATAAATCTGTTAAAATGAGATGTCAATGTTATTTCCATTTTTGGGTAATTTATACGACAATTTATCCATCGCACCCAGTTTGGTTGACACTAAAACAACAACAACAAAAAAATAGTGAAAGAAACAAAGAAGAAAACAAATGAAAGAAAATAAACCGGATAAAAGAGAAAATAGGGGGAAAAAAAAGAAAGAAAGAAATCTAAAAAAAAAAAAAGAAAGAAATCTAAAAAAAAAGAAAGAAAGAAATCTAAAAAAAAAAGAAAGAAAGAAATCTAAAAAAAAAAGAAAGAAAGAAATCTAAAAAAAAAAGAAAGAAAGAAATCTAAAAAAAAAAAAAGAAATCTAAAAAAAAAAAAGAAAGAAATCTAAAAAAAAAGAAAGAAAGAAATCTAAAAAAAAAAGAAAGAAAGAAATCTAAAAAAAAGAAAGAAAGAAATCTAAAAAAAAAGAAAGAAAGAAATCTAAAAAAAAGAAAGAAAGAAATCTAAAAAAAAAGAAAGAAAGAAATCTAAAAAAAGAAAGAAAGAAATCTAAAAAAAAAAGAAAGAAAGAAATCTAAAAAAAAAGAAAGAAAGAAATCTAAAAAAAAGAAAGAAAGAAATCTAAAAAAAAAGAAAGAAAGAAATCTAAAAAAAAGAAAGAAAGAAATATAAAAAAAAAAAGAAAGAAAGAAATCTAAAAAAAAAGAAAGAAAGAAATCTAAAAAAAAAGAAAGAAAGAAATCTAAAAAAAAAGAAAGAAAGAAATCTAAAAAAAAAAGAAAGAAAAGAAATCTAAAAAGAAAGAAAGAAATCTAAAAAAAAAAGAAAGAAAGAAATCTAAAAAAAAAAGAAAGAAAGAAATCTAAAAAAAAAGAAAGAAAGAAATCTAAAAAAAAAGAAAGAAAGAATCTAAAAAAAAGAAAGAAAGAAATCTAAAAAAAAAAGAAAGAAAGAAATCTAAAAAAAAAAAGAAAGAAAGAAATCTAAAAAAAAAGAAAGAAAGAAATCTAAAAAAAAAAGAAAGAAATCTAAAAAAAAAAAAAAAAGAAATCTAAAAAAAAAAGAAAAGAAAGAAATCTAAAAAAAAAGAAAGAAAGAAATCTAATAAAAAAGGAAGAAAGAAATCTAAAAAAAAAGAAAGAAATAAATCTAAAAAAAAAGAAAGAAAGAAATCTAAAAAAAAAGAAAGAAAGAAATCTAAAAAAAAAAAGAAAGAAATCTAAAAAAAAAAAGAAAGAAAGAAAGAAAGAAATCTAAAAAAAGAAAAAGAAAAGAAAAGTAAAAAAAAAGAAAAGAAAGAAAGAGATAAAATAAAAAAAAAGAAAGGAAAGGAAGAATAAAAAAAATGAAAGAATAAATTTGAAAAAAAAAAGAAGACAAAAGGAGAAAATTCAAGAAGATTGGAAAAGAAGAAGAAAAAGAAGAAGAAAGATAAATAAAATTAAGAAGAAAACTATGACAATCAAATGAAAGGAAGAAAAAGGAGTAAAATTGAAAGACAACAGAAATAATAAAAAAAAACGAGTAAGGACTGAAAGAAAGCCATAAAGAAGGAATAAATACGAAAAAGCTAAAAGGCAATGGAAAAGAAGAAGACAAACTGAATGAAAATTGAAAAGAAAAAGAAAAGGACGGAAGAGAGTTACAAAGAAGAAAAAGATGAAAGACAACAGAAAAGAGAAAGAAAAAGAAGAAAAGGATGAAAGACAACTGAAACGAAAAGAAGAAAAAAGGCAAGAAGACAAAAGAAAAGAAGAAAAGGATGAAAGACAACAGAAAAGAAGAAGAAAAGAATGAAAGACAACTGAAAAGAGAAAGAAAAATAAGAAAAAGGCTGAAAGACAACTGAAACGAAGAAGAAAAGGCTGAAAGACAACAGAAAAGAAGAAAAGGATGAAAGACAACAGAAACGAAGAAGAAAAGGATGAAAGACAACAGAAAAGAAGAAAAGGATGAAAGACAACAGAAAAGAAGAAGAAAAGAATGAAAGACAACTGAAAAGAGAAAGAAAAAGAAGAAAAGGATGAAAGACAACCGAAAAGTAGAAGAAAAAGAAGGAAAGGACGGAAGACAGTTGTAACAAAGAAAAGGCTGAAAGACAACCGAAAAGAAGAAGAAAATGATGAAAGACAAGAAGAAAGAGGAAGAAAAAGAAGAAAAGGGCAGAAGAAAAGTAAAGAAGAAAAGAATGAAAGACAACTGAAAAGAGGAGGAAAAAGAAGAAAAGGCGGCAGACATCTGTAAAGAAGAAAAAGACGAAAAGAATGAAAGATAAGTGAAAAGAAAAAGAAAAGGTGAAATCAAAAAAGAAGAAGAAAAGGACAAATGAGAAGAAAAGATCGAAACGACGGATGCCAGTTGTTATGACGAAAAAGAAGTAAAGATTAAAAGAAAATTGAAAAGAAGAAGAAAAGACCGGAAGACTGCTATAAAGAAGAAAAGGAAGGAAAAGAGATTTTTCCTCTAGGATTGGGATAATCGATTGAATCTGATTGAGTCACTTTGTAAATACACTAACTGCGAAAATAATGATAGGAATGAAGAGGGAAAGGGATTAGCGACAAAAAGTAAAATGGCTAGAATGAAAGAAGAATACGACATATCGATTATATCTATCTGTTTGTATGCGGGGTATAAGTAGGGGAAAATAAATTACTAAGTAATAGCAAAAAGAATGAGATATCAAAAAAGATTTCTGGGGGAAATTTTGAGTTTATTGACAAAACAGATGAATACAATTCCGAGCTTAGATCGTTTAATAAATAAATAAATCAAAGTCAGGAGGAGAAAGAAAGAAAGAAAAAAAGAAAGAAAGAAATGGATAGAGAGGGGAAGAAATAGAGGTTATAATTAAAAATAAACCCAAAGAAAAAAAAAAGAATGAAAGAAAATGTGAAAAATAGTAAAAAAAAAAAAAAAAAAAACAATCAAGAAAGAAATATAAAGGCATAATTTAACGAAAGAAAAGATCTAAAATAAAAGCGTAATGGCGGAAGAAAAAGAGATCCTAATTTTCGTTTAAACAAACACACAAGAAAGAATAACAGAAGAATAAATCTATGAAGATAATTGAAGAAGTAGGCGGAAGTAAAGAAAGAAAAACGCAGAAGGAAAATACTGAAGTAAAATAGAAAAACGTATTTAAACAGTAATTAACTAAAAAATGAATTGAAGCAAGAATAATAAATCGAACGAGGAAAGACTAAGAACTTGAAAGGAACGAAACAAGAACGATTTATCGAAGGAAATGAAAAAAAAAGAAAGAAATAAAAAAGGCAATTTATTGAAACGTGTTCTAAAGAAGGAGACAGAAAGAAAAAGGCAGATGACGGAGAAAGAAAAAACAAGTGAAGATTAACAAAATGAGTTGACATGCAGTACATGGCGGCCATCTTTGGCGACAAAAAACTGTTTATGCTTTGGCTAATATCCTACGTCATCGACAAATGGGCGCCATTGGGCCGAGCTCATCGTCCGAATCATATAATAAGTTGGTGCCATTCACATAATGATAAAACAAATTCGTACCGTCACAGACCGTGGCGGGAAATGACATGAATTTCTTTTTAGATTCTGCAAACAAGTTTTACATACGAGCACCGAATAAAACAAGTCTTAAAATCAAACAACATGTACTGTCTGTTTTAAAAAAAATTCTTGTATTTTTCCAGTTTTGTATACCTAAATCAAAATTATGGACAAACTGTCCAATGTTTTTGTTCTTTTTTGTTCAAGTACTTTCGAACGTCTCAATCAAGAACTGAATGTTGTCAGCATGAGAGACATTTTCTTGTCTACATCATAGTATTATTTAGAAAGTTACAATTCAAATTTAATTCAAGTATACGACTGTCATGACGCCATGTTTTAAACTCTTTCACGGAGTTTGATTGTGCCGGACTTTTCCTATCGCCTATGTTATACGCATTATTCTTACTTAATGTACAAATTAAATATTTTATATACACTTTAAAACACCTTCTCGTGCGGTTTATTTAATGATATTTTTATAAGTTTCCAGTCATTTGCACGATACGGTTATAAGTGAATATAAATTCAAGAATTCAAAAGAACAAAATAAAATCCAGAATAATTATCAGATTCTACTTAAAAGTCCTCATAATTTGTAACTATCAATATTTATATGAAGACGAGAAATACACGGAAAATACATTTAAGCTCTTCCAATACCCTAATTATTTCATATTCAGCGCGTAACAAAAAGCTTGAAAATATTTCAAAATAGAAGAGTGAACCATTCTGATAAATGAATCAAAATATATTATTTTACCTAAAATTCAAACCTGGTCTTAGAGGAGGGTGAATGGAGTCTCTCTGAGCCTTGGTTGGCAATCCATTTAGTGATGGTGTCACGATAAAAACACCCTTGATAGCCCTAGCGAAGCATCAAGAATTCAGCTATTTGACAAGATTATGAACTACATCAATCAAAGTATTGGTGAGTTCAATCTCGGCTGAGGCCGCAAGATGATGATTTTACCTACCAAATCTATCACAATTACAAGTGAAAAGAATTTATCTAAGCTTAACATAAAAGTTGTTATAAATATTATTAAAGCAATAATAGGCTTAATTAATGCGAAATAAAATAATAATAAGCTAACATTTGAAGGAAAAAATTACTCTATCATCTATCATCTGTAATGATAGCCACAAGCAATACATGAGATAAACTTCAAGGAATTTAAATAAAAGATTATATTAACATAAAAAGGATATTTTATAAAACAACACACTAAATGCAATAGTAGTAGTAGCTGCCTTAATGAGTTTAACCACAATTTCGATTTAAAAATGTTACTTTAATTTCTTGTTTAGGAGAAAGCAATTTACTAAGATGTAAGTGTATAAAAAGTGCTTTCAATCGCGAGATCCTCCATAGTAAATTTGCGCTCAGGTTATTACAACATTTTACCTTTCTTCTCAGATTTTCTGTTACCACAATGTGAGATAATTAATGACAAAAGTGACAAAAAATGAAATGTGCTAATCTATATACACATAAATATATTAAAAGGAAAAACTGAAAAGTTTAAAATTTCAACGTCTTCTTCCTTTCGTGACCATGTGTATTTACATCAACGTAAATATCACTCTAAATCTGATGAAGTCCTAGAAGAAGAAAACGCGTCACACGAAAATGTTTACCAATTTGTCATTAATTTTTTCAATATATATATATATATATATATATATATATATATATATATATATATATATATATATATATATATATGGAACCTTACCCATAATAACATAATGGACTATTCCATACGTAATAAATACTGCGCCTCAACAGGAAGCAGGGAGTTCAGCCCGAAGTCGGGCGACCGGCTGATCGGTTGAACTCTCTGCCTTCGGGCGGGGAGGAACCCGAACGAGGCTACGCCGAAGGGCGGAGTCTATTTCGGGGAGGTAAACCGACCCTGAACCCGTTTATACGGGTTCAAAGTGCATATTTTTGGCCGAGCCCACCGGCTCGGAGATCCCACGTTAAACCGGCCTTTTGCCACATGATGCCCTCGTGGGGAGGTGACTAAATACTGTTCAGTCTGAAGTCTGGAGTGAGGTCCGTCAGGAGTCTGTCAGTCAGTCAGAGCGAGTCAGTCAGTCAGTCGAGTCAGAGGCAGTCCGAAACAGAGTCGCGTTCAGACAATTAATACTAAACCGGATTGTTCGTACTAACACTTTCTACTTCTCTGTATATATTACTGTTTGTAATATATCTACCTTGGACTATCACCGTGGTATAAGGAACCGGACCATAACAGTGGCGACGAGCGATTCGAACTCATTCGGTGGAAGAAAAAAAAATTCGTTTGCCACAACATAACAGTGGCGACGAGGAAACCAACTCTCTACGCGGAGGACATACCTTTTTTTTGCTATCCGCCGCGCATGACAAGTGCCGACGAAGATTCGAACTCTCACGTGAAGAACAAACATCAAAATCCTCTCTCGTCAACATAACATATATATATATATATATATATATATATATATATATATATATATATGTATGTGTGTGTGTGTGTGTGTGTGTGTGTCTATATGTGTGCGTGCACGCGTGTGTATAGACATTATTGTAGCCTAATGATGAAAAAAAAAGAATCTATTTTGTACAACACATATTTTCTAACAATAACCCAAGATCATAGATCGTAAATCAATTTCAAATAATAATTGTGCTAACCTACGGATTTATTGATACAGCCCCTCTTTATATATTTATTTATACCTCTCACACACACACATATATATATATATATATATATATATATATATATATATATATATATGTGTGTGTGTGTGTCACTCTAATATTAACCAGCTTTACAAAAACTTTTAGTTGTGGACAGCAGTAAAATCTAAGTAGCATTTTGCCTTATATATATATATATATATATATATGGTAGATCAAAAATATTTTTACAAAATTTCGGGTCGGGTTCCTTATACCAAAACAATGACAAAATCTGTATAAACTTACGTCCGCAAATCTTTCGTTTTTGAGTCATTAAGTTTAAAGAAAGTTTACGCTAGATGGCCCTGTGTTGTCATCTGGACTAAGTTACATTTGTCATTCGTGTACATTTGTGCCTAGTATGTATTCAGCGCTTAACGTGTGTAGTCGTGATTTAACTTAGAAGTGTACCGTTTAATAATGGCAGGATATTCATATCGTGTGCAGGCACATATGATTTTTACATACGACCTCGCTAATGGTATTGGACGCTAGGCTGCAGGGCTGTATCAGATTGTTTTTCTAAAACCGAAGACACCTGTGTCATCCAAACTTTGCTGCTCTTTATCGTCGCGTTGCTTAGACAGAATCCGTAGCACCACAAACTATGGACCCCAAAATTTGTAAAAGTATTTTTGGATTGTATTTTAGATTGTACATTTAACAACGTCTTTAAACTTAATTACTCAAAAACAAAGGATTTGCTTATATGCTAGATTACTATTTGGTAGATTGGTAACTAGGCCCCACTGTTTTACTATTTAAAACAGTACAGTAGACTCTAATAATTGATCTAATCAATCGATAGATATGTGTAGACTTAGATAAGATATAAAGATAGGCATATAGCTAGATAATAACAGGCTGAGATAGATAGATAGATAGATAAGAACAGCCAGAGATAGATAGGTAGATAGATAGATAGAGAGAGAGAGTGTGTGTGTGTGTGTTTGTGATAGATAGATAGATAAAGAACAGACTGAGATAGATAGATAGATAGATAGATAGATAGATAGATAAGAACAGCCTGAGATAGATAGATAGATAGATAGATAGATAGATAAGAACAGACAGAGCTATCTAGATAGATAAGAACAGAATGAAATAGATAGATAGAGAGATAGATAGATAAGAACAGCCTGAGATAGATAGATAGATAGATAGATAGATAGATAGATAGATAGATAAAGAACAGAATGAAGTAGATAGATAGAGAGATAGATAGATAAGAACAGCCTGAGATAGATAGATAGATAGATAGATAGATAGATAGATAGATAGATAAAGAACAGAATGAAATAGATAGATAGAGAGATAGATAGATAAGAACAGCCTGAGATAGATAGATAGATAGATAGATAGATAGATAGATAGATAGATAAATAAAGAACAGAATGAAATAGATAGATAGATAGATAGATAGATAGATAGATAGATAGATAAGAACAGAATGAAATAGATAGATAGATAGATAGAGAGATAGATAGATAAGAACAGCCTGAGATAGATAGATTGATAGATAGATAGATAGATAAAGAACAGAATGAAATAGATAGATAGATAGATAGATAGATAGATAGATAGATAGATAAGAACAGAATGAAATAGATAGATAGATAGATAGATAGATAGATAGATAGATAGATAGATAAGAACAGACTGTGCTAGCTAGATAGATAAGGACAGAATGAAATAGACAGACAGACAGACAGATAGATAGATAGATGTCCATTAATTATGTTAACGCAAAAACAAACGAATGGCCCACACGCCGCATTTAGAGCACTTCAAAGTTACTTCTGTAGTTGACCTTTGTCTAATACCAGCGAACGATTTGTGCGTGGACTAAATTTACAACTTCACACCAAAACATCACTTTGCAGAAGACTTTGGCTAACGAGAGAAAATAAATATTTCCTTTTCAGCATGGTAGCACCTTGTCTGTCCAAGATCACGCAGCACTTACGACCTGTTCTGACCATGTTCAATCTACTGTAAAATTGAACTTTAAAATTCACTTTAAAGAGCTTTAATATTATTAAAACCTTTTTCTTTTTTTACAAACTTTCTTTTTCCTCCTTTGTTTATCTGCAAATTTTCTTGTTCCAGTTAGATATACAAAATATATAAATGAATTCAGTTCGAGGTTTGGACGATTCGCTGATGACCTGCAGAAAAGTTTCTTGTTTTATATGTGCCGTGTCACCTCAGGACTTAGGTAACCATGGCTCTCCACAACTACCTGATCCTTGTAGCTCTTAATAAATTTGCTGAATAAGGGAGTTTTAAGATAAATGGAAGCGAGAAGGTCGCTTATACTTAAAACTAAAAAGAGAAAATTCCGTATGGGGCACATAATGAAGAAAGAGGGCTTAGTGAGTTCGACACTCAGAGGACATATTGAATAAAAGAGGGTCAGAGGGAAACAGTGAGTAATCGACCGGGACACGGATTGGGAATGTGTTAGCAGACTATTACATTTTTTTAGAGGAAGTGTATATTTGTTCCAACTTCCTGAAGTTGACCATTGGGTCAGATGCAAGCCATAATATGGGAAGTCGATTATGATTGACTGAGCTATCGTGGGAAAGAAGATAGGAGAAAGGTTTTCGCGTGTTGTTTCTTACACATCAAGCAATGGAGGCGTGTTCCCTTTCGTGTTTGAAACGGCTCCCCAGTGGGCTGGGGGAACGATCCCCTCTGGATAGTTAGTACATGTCGACATTAATAAGATAGATAAGTTAAAATTCTTTGTTGAAGTTCTTACATCTCTGAACAAGAACATCTAGCGAACACTAACCGAGAGAAAATATACATTATAATTAAATTGGCGCCGTTGATACCTCCCAGCTTAAGGCGGCTATACAATAAACGATGGTGAAAAACAAATCATATTAAGCGCTACGAAGATAAGAAGTTGTGGAGAGTCATGACTGACCACGTCCTAAAGGGAAACAACACAAAGAAGTGTTTATTGCTTTATGAGATGATTAAAAACGTAATCAGATTATTGAATTTCAAGTAGCTAGACTCCGTCCCGTTTATAAGAACTGGCTGGAGGACAATAATTTGATAGCCTTTTAATTGCCATGAAGAGGTTACAGATCCTTTCAAAACAAACTGAGATGCTTCGATATTTAAATGGCGTCAAATTTTCTTTGGCATTGATTTTAAATTAGATAAGATTGGCATAGAGGTCCCTGCTTAATTAGAAACATTACGATTAAATAGAGATTTTAGAAATACGACTTGGGAAATTAATCCTACATAACAAAAGAAAAGAAAAACTGTTGAAACTTGACTAATGCATGGAATAATAATGCAACACAAAATGTACTTAGAACAAAATGTATTGAAACAAGAAAGTGTACACAATATTTACATATAGTCTTTGGTATATTCTTTGGAAGACCGTTCCTGGAGAATGTGTTGACTTAGTCGCAGTCGGCAGAGTCTCTGGATTGAATCTCTTGATTCCTTCCCCTCGTCTTCCCGGTACCAACCATATTTATATGGTCGGTACTTCACTATGCAAATTAGGTGGATCCTACCACAACAAAAACAAAACCAAAAAAGTCAGGAACTGTTTTCATGAGTTACTGTGTGAAAACGTTGTGCGGTTAACGTCACGGTTACCAGCGCGAAAAATAGAATTGGCGAGCCGAGTTCAAATTCCAACCTATTGCGTTAACTTTGCTTGCGATGGATTCATGCCTTTTCTAATACCATTTTACTCTCCGGCCTTCTTTCATTATGTATTTCGGAATTTTTGAGAATAATAATACTTTCTCATAATTGCTATTCAGACCAGCAACCTCATCTTGGTTGTTACAGTCACAACGTTTCGACCGTTGTACTCTACGGTCTTCTTTCGTTATTTATGTTGGCATACTTTTGATGAGGAATTATCATTGTTAAACATTCTGCTGTTTGGAACAGCATGCCCAACTTGGTTTTTATGCTCACGACGTTTCAGTCTTTGTATACTGACGCCTTCTTCAGGTTTCTTTGTTCATACTCAGTAATCTTGGAATTTCGAACCGAAGCCATTATTCAATGCCCCGGGGTGGATTACACTCGTTCTGCTTTCCATGTTTAGGGAACATTTTGCATTAATATTAATCAGCCTTATTCACTTTCGTGTCGCTTGTCTGTTTCTTCCACTTAACCAGATTAGGTGACTTTTCAGCACTACCAGACCTAGGGATCGAACTCAGGAAAGCCGATTATTCGTCGTTTCTAAAATTCCGACACAAATTGATTTAATATTTATAAACATTTGTGCATTTCAGCCTGAATGAAGAAAGAAGTTGAAAAAGCGTTAATCCAGGTACTCGTAAAAAACATGGTATCACTGCAACTTATTTATTTCTGGCTGATCATTCTGGCCGCTGTCTAACCTTTTACTGACCATTTAACTCGGCACTAGATTTTCCGTGTCACATTGGACGTGACCTTGGACTTCCGGCTGGTCCACTCAACATTTCCTGTTTAAACACCAACACTTTGCAGTCTTTAGTCTTAAAAACTTTCTCCCCGCCCCTCTCCAGCGTTGTTTGACCATTTCTTTCTTGACCATTTCTTTCTTGACCCTTTTTATTTCTCGATAACAACTCGACATCACGACTGATATTTCCGTCAATTGTTTCCAGCGTCCAGTCTTGCTTTCAGAAACTCGGCGCTCTTTTCTAACGCCAGTTTTATCGTTCGCCCCCCCCTCTCTGACCACAACTAACCACAGCTTCAGTTCGAGACGGTCAATTTTCGCCACGTGATCCCGTGTTGTCTTGTCATTTGCTTGGCCGGCCGGCCGACCGGCCGCTTGATTGGATAAAACGTCTACGCCTCGGTGGTTGCACGATTCAATATTACTAACTGCATGACATTTTGTCTTCTCAACAAACAAACACTGAGAAATCTTTATTTTCTTTCTTAAACTCTTCCGTACCACTGACAACTTTATTTGCATTACTAACCTAAAAGCCACCCTTTGGGCGGACATTAGGCTAGCTACTGCAGAGGGCTTTGGGGCCTTAGGCCTTTTACCTTCAGCGTTCTATATAAGAAAAAGTTATAAGAATTTAGAAGTAATCAAATTATTTTATTCAATATCTTAATTCGGTATAATCTTTCTTCGTATACGCATCCGATCACCGTAATTTCTTTACAATTATTCTGCGCACAATTTTTATTTTCGTTTAAAATCAACATTCTTTATGATGCCGTCATATAAAGTCATTCTTAAAAGACATTAAGGAACCAGAACTACGTAATATTTCGAATCTGACGCAGTACGTGTGCTAGAAAAAGAATTTTTATTTAGACGATATCTATTGCAGTTGCGACAAAAAGCGAAATTAAAATTAAACCTTTAATAAAGAATTGTTTTCTTTTACACCTTTCACTCTGTACAATATTTAAATTTAACTTTAAATGAGTTATTTAATTTTTAATCACGTGTAACTACAGTAGTTATTTGTTACTTCATGTAATTTATGGTTCGCTGAGATCGAAAAACGAACGCACGTACACTGCGTTTTATTATGATAGATCTACAGCCGGGCTCATCTTTTTTGTTACGATTATGACGTACGGTTATTGCGGGCTACGGTCCTCTTTGATGTTTGTCGAGCCGGGTCATCTTTAGAGAATTTTGAAGTACATATTTATTCAATCTAGAGAAGCAGTTCTCAATCCGCTGTCTATGCTAAGGGTATGTGTATATATCTATATTGTATATATCTGTCATATCACCCGCAGACGAAGTCATAGCCATTGTGAACTCCATGATATTTTCGTTGGCTGAAAGGTATGTGCTTCACCAGAAATGCACACGACGTTAGTTTCAGAGTTATTCTTCTCATAGACTGGTTACCCACCATGGCTAGAGATCCCTGCCTTCCATTCTATTTAACCCATAGCTGGGGATATATAGTTCTTGTTAATTGTTAAATGATTGCTAGTCTTATTTCCACAAATTCTACCTTACGGAAATATCACATTGAAAAACCAGTTCCCGTATGATCACCGCAGTTAAGCAATGTCGAGCCTCGTCAGTACGGAGATGGGTCACTGCTTGGGAATATCAAGTGATGTAAACTTGGATGTGCAGGTGGTGCAATGTATAATGGCTCTAAATGTTTAATCGAAGAGCCGAGATTCAATTCCCGCTGTGTTCGTTACGGGCAGATATCCTTGAGAAAGGCATGAATTGACCTCTTCTTCCCTAACTATGGGTTAATTAGTAAGACTCGAATCATTAAACCATTATTATCCCAAAAAATTCTTACAATATAAAAATATTTTCTGGCTTTAAATAACCTGGAAAGGGTTGATAAACCGTAGAAAACGAATGAATCAATCACCCAATCCACAAAATCCGGGTATATCTGTACTGCTCGGCCTAGTTATGCAAGACGAGATATCCTTAGGCATGAACAGAGAAACGAGATTAATCTTCTCTCATAGATTAAATAAAGGGTTCCGTTCGAAAAACCCGAAAGGTTACCTGGATCGCAAGACATCTGAAGAAGGTCGGAGGACACAATGGCTGAAACGTTACAAACAAAATTCTGATTTTTTGTTCAGTTTTCATTACATTTAACTGTAATCGGAATCCATGTTTTGTTCTTATACAAATACTGTACCTGTATGTATTGTAAGGAGGTACGGTAGAACAATGGATAGCGGCTTGGATTGAAGAATCCGAAAACTGAATTACATTCCATTATATGTTACCGAGTTCGAATTACATTCACTCACGTGCTAATACCCTTTGAATCCTCTTTTTCTCCCCACATCTATGGGTAAATAGCAGAACAGACCGGGTCCTATTGCCTATCGCAGAAAGAAATGGCAACCTACTGTGAGAAAAAAAATCTGCCTCTTCAGTCAATCGAAAAATACATGTTCGCCTAAGCGTGTATCACGCATCTTATGTATTGTAATATTTTAATCAAAACACGACATCGTTGGTAGAGACTGATAGCTTATTAAATTTTCCTTTTCACACACACATTGATGTCATCGACTATGTACCCTCTCTCTCCAGTTTTTCACACCTGATGTAGAAGTAGTGTTTTGTGTTGCATTTATATATATATATATATATATATATATATATATTTGTAAGTAGTGCTCATATCGTATTTATGCTTGGGTTTCATTCCCAGGATGCCCCATTTTATAGAGGTTATAGGCAATTTAAATAGACTGTATTCTAAAATCCGAAAACATCTGAAAACCTAAATATTTCCGGTACCAAGAATTTCGAATAAAGGATTCTCAACCTATAATGTGCGTAATGATAAATCAACAGTAACTTTATAATGATAAACAGAAACTTACATCTTTTTGCAAAAAGTTTTTTTCCTTTCTACTTTCTTTCCTTCCTTCACTCTCTTTCTTTTTTCGCGCGCGCACACACACAAACACGCGCGCACACACACACACACATACGCACACACAAACACACACACACACACACACACACACACACACACACATACACACACACATACTCTCGCCCTCTCTCTCTCTCTTAATCTCTGTGGTTAAATTGGTGATAATTTCTAATTTTCCATATCTTTTACCTGTTTGCCTCCAAACTTATCTGCTTATAAACTATGCATTCTTTTAAAGCCACTTTCTACTGATCTTTCCCTAATTCCTTTGTGTATATTCATTTCTTTCTTCAGTCTTCATTTTTTTCACTTCTCTTTTTCCTTCTGCTCCTGATAATGTCCGAAGATCAAACAAAATCCAATTTTGAAGTTCCTGGCTCTTTACACTCATCCCATTAAATGACCTACTTACATGTATCGATTTGTCAACAAAAAGCAAAATCTAATCGAAAGACGTGTTTATCCTTTTCTTTCGAAAAGCAGCGTTTGTCTAAGGTCAGTGTTTCGTAACCTATGCGCCCGATTCTAAAGATAATAAATAAAAAACTTTTCAAAAAAGCCTCTAAGTATGATCTTCAATAAGAAAACGATTACGATTATCTACTCCTGGTTCAACAACATGTTTAACATTATTAACTAACGCAATAACTATATTTTAAGAAATTTCTATGGGACAAAGAACAAACCTAGTATTGAACCCTCCTGTAGTTGTAGATCTAAAGAAAATTGGCCAGTAGTGGGCAAATGCAATTCTACCAGTGGTATATATCAAGCGATCATTTCCCCAAAGAAAATATGAAAAATTATAATGTTTACATTGGAATTTCCGCGGAGGAATGGAAACAGAGATTTTATACCCATTGTCACTCATTTTCTAATCCTAAGTTAAACACCAGACAGCTGTTTCAAAAGATTTTAGGAACTGAAAGAGAAAGGATTGAGCCCACAGATAAGTTTGGAAAATTATAGGTTCTGCACGTACTCCTAATAATCTTAGAGATAGGTGTGACTTTTATTTAGAAGAAAGGATTAGAATAATAAAATGCAATAATCAAAGTCAAGTATTCAATCAGAGGTGTGAATTAGTGTTAAAATGTCGACATAAAAATAAATTCACATTTCTATATTTAACTTAATTAGCTACCATATTTCCACCATGTTCATTCCTCTCTAACTCTTTAAATGTCGACAATATAACTAATTCTAATTTCTATATTTTATTCCCCTATAACCTCTTTACATTTTATTAGAATTTGTAAACTTTCCTCTAATTTAATGTCTCCCCAACTCTCTTTTTATTAATCCCTAACATCCTTTTATTTATATATTTTAAATTTATTTTAAACAACGTTTTACTCCTAATTTTAAAGTAATATTTCATTCTTCATATAACACCAAATTAATGTCATAAGGTTAATATTAGGGTTTAATTTTATAAAACTTCAAATACCTTCCACCCACCCCTGACTCCTGACTTGTGCCTTTCGTCTGACTGAAACATTGAAATGGATAAATTCTGTGTTAGTTTTTCGACAAGTTGATTTTTTTAGCTTTCACAGTTAAATTCTACTTCCTGCCCCTCCTATCTGTATAGACACGAACTCAGTTCACACCGGGGCTGATAAGACGGACTACCGATATCTTCGTCTGCCGAAATAGACTATTCCCCATATGAGGTAATTTTGGATTTTATTGTTTATCATATATATATATATATATATATATATATATATATATATATATGTATGTATGTATGTAATGTATGTATGTATTATGGAAGCCATTATGTATTTTAAGTTACGAGAACTCTTGGCTAACATTTCGTACATTTTTAAACATTTCATTTCCTTTAAAAACAATCAAAATGTGTCTCATTTTGTAAACAACAGTTAATCCTTATGAAATAAAATAATATCTGTAGTTTCCAGGTCACCAATGATTTATGACTACGTTGAACAGTCTACAAAATGCATGTCTGTAATAGCGGTTGGGCCATAAACAGACGACGCCACCATTGACTGTTACATAAGCTGACTAGCAAGATTTATGTTGGCAAACACTGACCACCTGCCGTCTTAACTTGCAAGCTTATTAACGTAACCTGGTCGTTCCACTAAGCTAGACTTAGAAAATATCTACGCAGGTAAATTCACCTCCAATTGTATATAAAATATATTAAATATTAAACAGGTTACACTGTGTTTTATTTTATTTATTTTTTTACATTAATGTTTCCCCTGTACAAAGCCTCGAGTTAGAGGATTACAGTTTATTAGGATTATATGGAGAAGATAACGGGTAACCCAAGATTTGAACAGGTTAAGATCGAGGAAGCATTTTCTCCAGAGTGAGTTCCATAAAGTAGCAATTTGTGGGAAGAAGCTGTTCAAGTAGAACTTATATTTCACCATTGAAATACTAAGGGAAGCTGGTTTGCTACAATGTGCGTGACATAGCTGGTTTTATCGGCGAAGGTTAAAACTGGTGGAACTAAAGAACGTAGTTCGGGTGAATATTTTCCATGGAAATAGCAATAAAGCAGAGAGAGGCTTGCGGCGATTCGTCTGTGGGAAAGGGGTTATGGTGTAAAATAATTCATCACCCACAAGGGTACAGAGACGCTTTTGAACTCTATCGATACTGGAAAGTGATGACCGAACCTCTGCGGCCCATACATGGCAACAGTATTCCATCAAAGGTAGAAAATGAGAGTAGTCGTCATTTATTAGTGCGGTCCTGAGACCCGCCCATTTTTTCCAGAATCTTTAGCGATGGATCGTATGCACGAGTTTCACGAAGTCTGGGGTGCGCTCAAGTCTCGAAAATTCAGAGTACACTATCAGCATAGTTCTTTGTTGTTGTTGTTCTTCTTCTTGTTCTTGTTGTTGTTCTTGTTGTTGTTGTTGCTGTTGTTGTTCTTCTTCTTCTTCTTGATCATCTTCTTCTGCTTGATCTCCTTCTTCTTCTTGATCATCATCATCTTCTTCTTCTTGATCATCATCATCTTCTTCTGCTTGATCTCCTTCTTCTTCTTGATCATCATCATCATCATCATCTTCTTGATCATCATCATCTTCTTCTTGATCATCATCATCTTCTTCTTGATCATCATCATCTTCTTCTTGATCATCATCTTCTTCTTCTGCTTGATCTTCTTCTTTTTCTGCTTGATCTCCTTCTTCTTCTTTTTCTGCTTGATCTCCTTCTTCTTCTTCTTCTTCTCCTTCTTCTTCTGTTTGATCTTCTTCTTCTTCTTCTGCTTGATCTTCTTCTTCTTCTTCTGCTTGATCTTCTTCTTCTTCTTTTTCTGCTTGATCTTCTTTTTCTGCTTGATCTCCTTCTTCTTCTTCTTCTTCTTCTTCTTCTTCTGCTTGATCTCCTTCTTCTTTTTCTGTTTGATCTTCTTTTTCTGTCTGATCTTCTTTTTCTGTTTGATCATCTTCTTCTTTTTCTGTTTGATCATCTTCTTCTTCTTCTTCTTCTTCCCTTCGATTTCTGTTGTATACACAATTCCTTCCGGTTCGCAACGAGAGACAGGAGGTTAGAAATGCTTTCATGATATTTTCCACTGATCATACAACAGCAATAAAAAAATAAGAACCAAAAATCACACATTTTACATAGATAAAGCCTTTCTTAATCTGTGAGTTATACTTGTAAGCACATTTTTTTGTATTTCTTTAAATCAGGGTCTA